TGTTGTGTAGCATGCAAAAAATCAAGATGCTTATTCACAATAAACTTGACTAAGGCAAGGAGGCAGTATTCATATTTACAAGCAAGAGAAAGTGATGCATGTTACTTATCCGTGTAATTATGACATCTGAGAGAGCTATCTTTTCATTTTCAAACATATTGACAATAATAGTAATAAAACTTAATCTAACACATTTTATGGTTCTTTTTGGTCAAAGTTGAATTACCTCTTCTTGTTGTAGCCGTACACTGCAGGACCTTTTTTTTCAAGATAATGATTTAAATCTGACCATAAAATGCCTGAACATCCAGAGCCAGTATTGGCATGCAGATAGTAAATCTGAATACTGCCTCCTTTGCTGGTAAGGTAAAGATGGGCTTATCAACCATTGGCATTCACCTTGTTGAAACCGAATAGGGATTGGATGTTCTAGGTTGAATCTCTTTTAGTCCTAAGGTGAACCACAGTACATCAGTATATGCACAATAACTACCTTCCTTTTTTTCACAGTTCACAGTGGAATCAAAGATGAATTCATGGGAGTAGAGGTGAGATATCATTAGGGAAGTCTATAAAGAGAGATAGATGTGGATTTATTTATAATTCTGTATTACTTTTTAAATACTCACACACCACACAACATTCAAGTAAACTTTGTCACATCAGCAATTATAAAAAGGACTCAAGAGTAAAACATAACAGTGAAACAGGCCTCATCTCTGTAGTCCTGTACCCACCTTTCTGTATGGAGCCTCCAGCATGGCCTCAACATCAAAATCATCAGCCATGATGATCCTGTGGAAAGGAAGCAACAAAAACCTGTATTAACGAGTGACCATTCTGATGCAATAAATGGTTTTGATACAGTCGGTCACAAGTTTTCTTCCCAAAATAAAAACAACTGGCAACTATTTTGGTAAGTCATTATTGAATTTGTATTAATTTATATGCAGTTTTGACTTTTGTAATTTTTTTTAGACTCATGTAAACGTAAGATGTGTTTACAACGGGCGGGTTGATGACCCTGCCTTACACAGCATGAAACTACATCAATCATGAAAAACAATTGATTAACATAGACTAGTAATTAAAAGACCTTTATGCTAAACAGCTGACACTCCTCTACTTTCCTTCTGAAGGTTATACACCAGTAAAAACAAGTTAGACCGACCGAAACCAACATGCATTTAAAAGCTATTATTTAAACAGATTTGATTTTGAAAAACAAATAAGATGTTACCCAGTAGCTGAAAACAATAACTCCATTGATAGATTGGGAGTTTGTAGACTGTGGCCTCAACAACATTGAGGGCTGAAACTAATACCTGATTTCAATTTAGATACATCTATAAAACATATTGTGTGGATTAATAGTTAAATTCGTACCGTGTCAGAGAAATAACCACATCTCACCGTTTCTCAGACTGATTTGACCTCTGCAGAGAATATTTTGTCAGACCAACTACCAAAAACAAAAAAAATGTTCAATTTACAGTTAATATAAAACAAATAATAATCAAGAAAATCATCTGTTCAAAGGTATGAAACTTGCAGTGTTAACATTTAGCTCTAATTACCTACTTAACTCAACGATCGAGATAGTTCAAGAGCATTTACTGTCGGTGGTCATGTCGTCGGAGGTCTGATGAAGATCAGCATTAGATTAAAATAGCCAACACAGGAGATAAAACAACGTGGTTCCAGATCTTCATAACTATCACACACATCAACAAATATCTGATCAACTTGAACGTGTGTCCCAACGTGAACATTTCAGCATCAACACAACTCACGGTCCCGTGAGAATTGGGAGGATTCAGAAAAGATAAACATGCGTTACAGTCGACACTTAGCTAAATGCTAACTAGCCACATCGCTCGTCCAAGCGCTAGCTAAATACTATGATCCGAATTATGACTTTACAGGAAGGTTTGACTCGAGTAAGAGGACAAATACGAATTAACGTGTGTACGTGGGCAACACGTGTCCGACCATTACCACTCCGACGTGTTCACACTCAAACATTTCACGCTCACTTGAGGGGAAACGGGCGCTGACTTGTGAGCTGCCAATATGGCGGCAACGAGCTAGCTGCGTTAGCAAACATCGAAGTTACCTTTTGAAAGTGACGAGCTGACGTCCCACAGTCAAAATGTCGCAGGTGTGCAGCAGCGGGGGAGACTCGTCTCGACGGCTCCGTGTCGGCAGGTCGCACAGAGCGGAGATGAGCTGTACTTTGTTCGGAGTTATGTAACCTTTTGTCGGAGGCAGGTCGCGGCCTGGGATCAACTCGTTCTCCCTCCTCGTCTGCTTCCTTCTTTCCGCGTTCACTTCTTCTTCTGGGAGTTTTTTTTTTACTGCAGCTACGGTGCTTTGCGTTCCCGCATTGCCCCCTAGTGGATTTGCGAAGGGCTGCAGGTTACTCACTACCATACAGTCTATGGTTACTACATGTAGTTTTAAGGAACCTGCACTTTACTTGAGTAGTTCCATATTTTCCACATCCCCCTCTGAATGTTTCACTACCTCCTCTCGGCATGTTCAGTTTTCATAGAATGATGAAGTTGCTTTTTATTTTCCTTTATCGATTATTCTCTATTGATTTGTTTCTGTGTTTTTCTGCAATCGCTGTGTTTTGGGTCTGTGCATGAAGTATAACTCATCTACAGTTATGAATATATCACTTTAGGTCAGTTTTGGATTTGATTGTCTGTGTGTACAGAGGCAAATGAATGTTGATGGGCGTGATATTATTGTTTGACATTTGATATAATGACATTTTAAATCCTGGGAGAGTAGTTGTAAAAATTCTCAGGAGCTTGGTGACATTTGAATTTTCCTACGGGGATTAATAAAGTATTTCTGATTCTGATTCTGAAATCCGTACAACAGAAATTCAAGCACATTATTGTTTTTATATTGTATTTCACTCTGTTGAAATCTATAGAAATGCTGTGCTGCATTAAACGTTACACATTTGAGCTGAGGCCTGTGTATATCTTGATACACGGTTATTAAACATATGTATTAGTTTATTATTATTTAGTTCCAAATGAAAACATTTTTTTTCGACTTTGACATAATGTTATAGAATGTATAAATAAATATCAGGGGTTATTCACAATCTTGTCCTATGATCTAAAATAAAACTTCAAACTTGTTGGTGTAAAACACAATGAGCACATCAAATTTGGTGTATATATATATATATTTATTTTTTTCCAATTATCTGTCACTTATTAGTGTTGGTTCTGTTTTTGAACCTGCTTATTTAGATAATTAAGATTATCTGTTGACTGTTTTGGTCATATTACACCGACATTAAAACATTTATACAACGTGTTTATATATTTAAAATAAAGCAACATCCTCCATTCAGCACAGAACACGTGACACAAACACGCTTAGTTCGTTTTACGGTTATTTGTCGCCATCTAGTGACATTTACAGGAACATCATCTTTTTCACAGTGTTAAAAGGTCCAGAAATTTAATCCTCATGATGTTTTTACTAGTTTCTGTCATCTAAATTGTATGAATTATAGTAATAATTAATATATATATATATATATATATATATATATATATATATATTTAAATACTTTATATTTACATTGAGAGGGTCCTCTCTATGGAGGCCGCCATGTTTTTTAAAATTAGTCCAGACTGGACAAACTGAACACCTTTTGAGTTTTTATGACAACTGAAGCTGCCACAGGTTCTTTTTTATGTTTGGAAGGGGAGGGTGAGGTGAGGGGTGTTCAGCTGCATCATGCAATTTCAACACTAGATATCACAAAATTCTACACACTGTACCTTTAAGTGATAATAAGAGATGGATGGATAGAAAGAGGGATGACGTATAATTCATAGATAGATACACAGATAAACAGATACATAGATAGAAAGATAGTGTAGAGGAAATTTGACCTGGCGAGACTTCTGAATTAAAGAGAACTGAGTATAATGTTCTTTTCTGTGCACGTTTATTCTCAAGGTCAATCAGATGGGTAAGAGAAAGAAACATTCTCGGGCATGCTTTTTTATGCAAATTTAGAAAAGAGGTGATGTGTGTGTGTAAGGAGCAGGTGAGTGTGTCCCAAGGTAATGTGATTGTGTGAGAATAGAGTATGAAGTAAACTACCAGGAGATAAGGCACTAAGTTACAGACACAAGCCAAGGCTTCTTCAAGGTCTCTGTGAGGAGACGAGTACAGGGATTCCCAGTGGCTCCGATGTCCAGACCTCTCAGAGACCGATACCTAGTAAATCTGGTAACTAAAGGCCATGATAAATCTGCCATGAGGCAGGTGACCAGCCGTCATCCGTCATCATCAGTCACTTGTGACTTGACTTGACAGCTATGACACTCAATTTAATTTCATATTTGCATGTAGGACAATGAATAGCACCTTCAGTATTAGACAGTGCCACTGTCTCCATTATTGTCTATGATCACTAGTGCAACTTATATACAAAGTAATGGATGTAAACATATGATTAATAGTCACTATAATGCACAGATTAATTTAAGACTTAGGCAGCAGAATCCTCAGTGATAGTTTTGTTTCTGAGTTTAAGTGGCACATCGTAGTCAGGAGGAACATCAAAAAACAGCTTATCGTCGAAGCAGAAATCATCCGATGGCGGTGCAAGGAGCGGCAGTTTTAAGATGAAGCCCGTGAGGATGCCTCCCAGTGCTGACACTCCTATGGTGGAGAAAACAGCTGCAACCTGGAACAGAGCCTGTTCCCGGGCAGTCCTCCCCAGACCGGGCCGTAAACCGGGGATCAACATCTGCAGCTCTTGCAGTTTGGGGTCGCCCTCCACTGGTGCTCTGTGTGTGAAGATTTCATAAAAACTGGGGCCATAGACCTCCTCATTAGCAGCCAGTATAGCGCATATCCCTGCAGCACAGGATATGAGTCCTGTTAGACCGTGCAAGTTGTGTATTCCACATTGATCCTGGATCCTGAAGCGCTGTGCAAGGAAGGGGCTCAAGTACTTATAGCCCAACATGCATGCAGTGCAGCCCATCATACCCAGAGCATATGCAGCTACAGGCGTTATCATCATATCAACAGTTGCCCCGACTGTCACACCTCCAGCCAGCGTGACGTTCTGAATATCGGCAATGGTGATCTTACCATTTTTGTTCAGCATCGTAGAGAGAGCGAAGGCCGTGAGAGTGGAGGCGCTGAGGCCGATGAAGGTGTGGAGGATGGCTCTGTGCTGGTCGTCTCCTTTCAGGGTCAACGCTGAGTTGAAGGAGGGCCAGAACACCCAGAGGAACAAGGTCCCCATCACAGACAGGATGTCAGACTGATAGCTGGTGTTCTCCTTGGCATGGCCTTCGTTCAGGTGAGGCCTGTACAGAACAAAGGTGACACCCAGGCCAAAATAACAGGCAAAGAGGTGAATGAGAATAGATCCTCCTGCGTCGTTAATCTTGATGTACTTCAGCACGGCCCATTCTGTGGCTGCAAACACTGGCACTTCCAGCAGAGCCATGACCAGCAGCTGCAACGGACTGGTCTTACCCAGCACTGCCCCGAAAGATATCAACACCACAGCACAGGCAAACTCTGCATTTATCAGGTTGATCACTCCGAGGTGTATCTTTCCATCGTGGCTGAACTGGAAGTACCCCTGCACCAGGATGGCCCACTGGATGGCAAAAGTGGCCGTGAGGAAGTTAAAAACCATCCCTCCAAAGCCATACAGTCGGAAAAATGCCAACAGGCACCCAAAGCCGAGGAATATCATGACCTGTATGTCCGTAAAGAAAGGGTAGTCCTTGTACACTGCGTTGTCCATTGGGTCAGTCTGGTTGTTCTGAAACCTGGCATCGGCGTGCTCATCGTAGGTGACAAAAGCAGCATACATGGCAACAATAACCACCTCAATGACAAAGACAAAGGCAGGTAGCTTCACGCGGAGGTTGGTTGACCGTGCCTTCATCCTGACGGCTCTTTGGAACAAATGATACAAATTTCTCCTGAGTCTGGATTATGACTGATTATATAAAACAGGTAAAAGTCAGCGGTCAAGCCTGCTCGCTCTCTCAAACAAACACCAGCACTCTTCCTCTCAGAGAGAACCACTGCTGCATGGACTTTGACTGCTGTAATAAGACATGCAGCCGTTCTGGTACATCAGCGGTTTCTGATAATCGAACAGCACAATACAGCAAGTACAATACAGTACATGTGACACAAAGTACACATACACCTGAATGTAGAATCAATTATGTTGAGATAGTGATGCATTTACCACAAAAAAGTATCCTAGAACAAAGTTCATGCAAACACATTAAAGGTATTATATTAAGGTATTGTAAGGATTTATATATCATGTGAATTTCTGCACTGGTTTTAAAACTGAAGACATAGTGTGTCTGTGAGAAGCTTCATGAGGAAATGTTGTGCAAGAAAATTGTTGGGCAACATACAGACCTTTGATTCAGTCCGTCAGTTCAGCACGTTTCGTCCAGATCAATCACTTCGACTGAAAACCTTAAAAACAAGTAAGGTATCACAGCTGGTCTATTTTAATAAATAGCTGCAGTTTCTTATATCAGGTGCTGCATGTTGTTAACCATGTGACCTAATTAGCGACTATACTTTGCAGTTATTTGTTAAACTAGTTTGATTTGGGAACAGATTTAGTTTGTGACCTCATTGGTGGAGGTCAGGATTTGGGTTTTTATTTAGTGACTGCACACACAGATAAAAAGAGTCAGAATAACAAGTAAGCTTTGTAAAGCGTAAATGGATGTCATCACGTCCGCCAAGGACGTTATGATGTCACATGACTCACAGGGGGTGGGTGGGTCCCACAAAGACTCCCAACAAAACCAACAGTGTGTGTGTGGGGGGGGCATTCTACTTGTTTACGTGTCCTCAGTAGCAGATGTAACAGGTCATTGACCCTCTACTCTGAAACTGATTTTCTCCTCGGTTTCCTATTTTCCACAGTGCAGTGGAGAACCACCAGTAAAAGTCTCATGTTTGTAATGTGGGTCATGTTGATCTGTTCATTTGAGTCCAGACTGAATAATCTCATCAACTATTAGATGGATTATGAATTATTACCAGATAGGTTTGTACTCTTGCACTTGCACAATGCTGCATCTATAAACTTGACAGAAAAAAACGTAGCTTCTCTTAAGTGGATCTCTGTCCACATCAGATCCGACTTTTGATAATTGAGTAAATCCTTAATGAACCTGCTCCTTCATCACTGCCTGATCTCATGTAGATTTATCTTTCATCCCCTGCTCTCCACTCTCAGAATTCAACACTTCTACATTATGTGTTTAGTCAATGACCAGCCTATTTTAGGAAAATTGCCATTAAGCTTCCAGGACATTAGCTTGAAACAAGTTAATCTATAATCAGAGCCTAAAAGAAAAGATGACGCGCTGTAATAGTTAGTATTAAAATTATTTATTGCATTTTGGTGCTGACATATAAAATGGTTTCATTAAACCATTACTTGTACATAAATGCATAATACATGATGGAACATGAAACAAACTTTACAATTTAAAAGACAAACTGCCTATTTTATCTCTAGAAAAGATGTATTGACTCACATATTACACGTAACCTCTAGGCCTAAACTCACACATCTATTTACAAAGGTCCCGTCTTTACTTGATATTCAGCTGTACAGTGTCCTCTCTTCAAAAAGTGTGCCCATAATGTCAGGTTCACACACACATGCACACATACACACACAGCATGGAATCTGGGGCTCCTTGTTTGAACGAGTTACAAATGGTTTCTTCTGCAGATTATTGTACCTGCAGAATAAAACCTTTGTCCTATGGAACAAAAAAAAGCATGAATATTCAGACTTCTAAATGTGATTCTTGGTTTTTGTTGTTATGCTAATGTTATGCAGCTACACTGAGGATTACAAGGGAAACACTGATGACTGTACAGATATTTACCAAAACGAACACTTGTTCATGCGTTATGAGGTGAAGTTCTGTAAAAGCTACAGCATTAAAAACAACACACAGACAATACATTTGCAGGAAAATAGAATATGTACAAGTCTTAGGATTCCCTGAAAAAGAGAGTGAAGGCTAATGATTTAATTTTTGCTAGAAATTGATGCAGAAAAAAAATGTTTACTGCAACAATGAGCCAAGGAGAAGATGGAAATAAAATAATGCAACAGTATATGAGCATGTTTGGATTTAAACCTCAATCATACAAAAGTCAACTCTTTGTTTCCCTATGGATATCATATGTTCCAAAGTACAGTGAAGCGACTCACATGTGCATGAATTACTGTTCTAAAGTGACAGATAGACATCAAACAATCATTGTATATCACACTCAAACACGCACAAGAACGAATGACTGACAGGTGATCATCTCCAGGACCATCTGACTTAATGCAGAACTCACTGCAGAACAGTTTAATATGCACCTGAAGAGATTCCTCTAAGGTTCTATAAGCATTTTCTGGTTCTGTTGAACTCATCAACATTGTGGAGAATTCTTTCACATTTTAAAATTGTATGCATTAGTATAGTAGCAAATTAAAACGAGGATCGTTTTGCGTTGATATTTTAACATTTGGGAAGTTGGCCGACCAAGTTAAGTCTCCCTGTTTCCAGTGTTAATGCTAAAGCTAACCGTATGATTTAGCATACAAACAGTGTTCTATAAACTTTCTGCATGAAAATAATGATAACAAAAAAATACTTTTAACCCATAGTTGAATTAAATAATGAATGTATAAACTACAGTATATTTTAAATGATAAAAATAAATAAAAGTTTCTTTTAACCCTTAATGACATATAGTAGATGTGTAAAACACAATAAATAATATTTTAGCGACTATAGATTTCCTACAACTGGTTCAATGTTGTGTATCTGTTCACAAACATATAAAATGAATTACATTTTTTAAAATATCTCTTGAGTAAAATGTTAAACGTTTTAATGTAGTAGAGATGCTTGGTCTAAAACTAGTTAAAATTTTCACATTTATAGTCCATTTGAAAGTTTATGTACATATTAACATACAGCTTAACCACTCCTGCCTTTTTAAAGGTTCAGTGTGCAGAATTTGGTGGCCTCTAGTGGTGAAGTTGCATACTGCATGTAGGAGAAACTGTGGTGGCCCTCAGGTAAAGTAAAAACACAGAAAGCCGTCAGAAAGGGCTCAATCCAGGTAACGAAAACATAACAATTCTTAATTTCAGGTGATAATGCACCAATAAAAACACAATAATGAATATTATAGAACATTTCTGTTGATAGATCTCTCTCACTCCTAAACACTGGACCTTGATACAGTTATTTAATGTGAATATTTCACAAGAACAGATAGAAAACCTCATCCGACCTTTTTCTATGAATTAGCATCATTTTTAACACTTTGATTACTTGTGTGCTTCCAACCATACAATTAAATACAAAAACAGACCAGAACAAAGACAGACATGATTAGAAGAGCAAATACATAAAAACATCAATTAATAATAGAAAATAAGACAAAAATACAAAGTAGAAACATTCCTCATTTACAAATGGCCAGGGAATAAAAGCAAGAGGACAGAACAATGATTGAAAACCATACATTTTTATTTTTATTTTTACTTTAATACTCAGTAGCTTTTGTTTTATCTATTGCTCGTCAACTTTCTGCAATTACTCTATGAATGCTTCAAATTCTTATTTTAAATGCTTGTTAGGATGTTGGTATCCAAATAAAATAAACATTTCAACCGTGTGAACTTTTCAAATTATTAAAAACTAACCATCATCTGCTGTTTTCAACAGATTCCGTGTCGGTGTTTGTAAAAGCCCTCTACGAGTAGATGGTGATGACCTCACGTCCACCTCCACGCACTAGGAGGACCCGATTGAGACCCTCGGTAAGAACCTCCAGGAACTCCATGTCTGAGAAACATAGTGAAGGAATCTACTTGCTTTTACTTTGCACACAATATATTGATACAACATGGAGTTTCATTTTACTCTGAGGTACCATCTCAGTCCTGTCAGATGACCCAAAGTAATATGATCAACTGGGCCATTGACATTTGCCCATGCCACTTTTTGTGTCATCACCACCATGAAGTCATGTGATTTCAGTCACATGTTGTCCATCCTAACCTATCGTAAAAGTCCTGTTGACTATTTAGTTGGAACAGGAAATGAACAGACTGAAGTTTAAGTGTCCCAATGTCCCAAATTACCCCAATTCACCCAATATATATGAAACACAACACAACACAACAAAACACAACACAACACAGCACATTACAGACAACATAGAATACAGTAATAAATATATGATGTTAGAAGTACAAGCTCTTTTCATCAGTTGTCTTACTGTGTTTATATTGTGTTCATGTTTAGAGTTTTTATGCAGCAAAAAGAATTTCCTCGACTGGGATCTGAAGTGATCTGACGACACAAAGATAAATTAAACAGAGCTGGTGCAGGATACAGTTTTCGTTGCCCACACGGTTCTTTGGTGGCCCGGGCATGTTGAGCAGGACGAGTTTCGCCTCCTTGGACTTCTTCATGATGACCTCATTGAGTCGCATCGCCGTGTGCATGCGTCTCACATCCGTCTGGTTCCTGATGCAAGAAACATCAGGTCACACTTTGGTTTACAAATCAGTGTGTTTGCTACTGAAGTCACTAAAAATGTTGATACTTACAGATTCTCCCATTCCCTGAAGCAGCATGTGTGGTGGAAAATAACAATAATATTACATATGGGACATGTGCTCGTAGGAAGCTACATATGTTTGTTGTTCAGGTTCAAAGTTTTGTTTGTCACGTGCACAGGAACAACATGTATCTCCTCTAACTTTGGAACATGGGTCGATAAGCACAAATATTTACCACTGACCCGTGTCCTTGTGTGTACGTCATGTGTCTGATCTCTGTGCAGCAGTTTGACTCACGGCTTCATGTTGAAGAAGTCCCTCCCTGACTCTGGGTGTGCTGCCAAAAGGTTCTTCCCCTTGTCGGCACCCTTGTTGTCGGTCCAGGTGGCAGCACCCCCTGCAGAGACAGCAGGGGACGTGGGGCTTGTGGGGCTGGTTGGCGTTGAGGCGTTCTTACTGTGGAT